GGTAAAAACTAAAACAATTCTGAATAGTGGAACTGCTGTGATACAGCTATCAAGCTACTCCTGTTTAACATCACAACTAAAACACACATCTGTAATTTGTTTAGGACAATGCGCAACAAATAATTACATCCACTGCTCCAGAAATAAGGTTCCCGGGACACAGAGATGCTAATATTCATTAGCATGTATATGGCTCTTTCGAGTACTCAAAGCATCTCACATACATTATCTTGCTACAATCTTTATAAACAACTCTAAGGTAAGTCAGTCCTATTTCATATTGCACATGGGAAGCTGAGAGAGTAGGTACCTAAAGGCCACCTACTGAGTTTATAGTAGAGACAAGAAGGGAACACAGGAATCCTGAGTCATAGCTCAGTCTAGTATACTATCCAACAGATGTGAATAAAAGTAAATCCGAGGTACAATTTATCACACATTTACTTGCCAGCAGCTTACCAGCTACCCCTAAGCAAGCAACTGAAGTGGCAAACTTCAGCCTTTTCCATAGTACTTTAAGAAGAAGCAAAGCAAATACTATTTTTGCAACCTCACAGATTAGCTTTTAGGAATACAATTATGTCCCCATGTAACTCTGCTCTTTTCTAACCTGAACACTTTAACCACATTAATGATTTGAAAAGTTAAAGTAAAATTGCAGGACACACTTGCTGGTCAGATTAAGTCTGTCACTCCTACCCTGCAGCTGAACAGCCAAGGTGAATCTTTACACCTGTGTTGCTGTGAACATGCCCTAGGCAGGGATGTTCATTATGAGAGTCTGAAAATCCAAAGCTTAAGAACCACCTCAAAATTGATTCTCCAGCCTGGGCACACCAATATTTCTTACAATAATATGTAAAACATGAATAGCATCATGCACCCCAAACATTCAAGGTATTCTCACCGTGGATCTCTAACTCTCTACATGTTTGGAGATGAGCATCTTTCCTTCACATGCTGACCACTGTGAACGCTGGCATACTCGGACTGCCACGTAAAAGTGTCTCAAAGGTAACCCATGTCTACATTCTTATAATCCAGCTTGTCTGTAATTGCCATTATCAGAACGTAGGAAATATTTCAGCAGCTGAAAGAAGTTGCAAAATTAAACTATTCTGCAAGGAAGATTATGATTAGAAACCTGTCCTTAAGAATGCCCCTGGTGGCTAGAATTCCAGAAGTAGGGATTGGGGAGAGGGGGAGAGACAGACACAGAAGCCTTTGTAGAAATGAAGCACAAAATGTTTGGGACAACCTATTTAACGCCTATACCACAGATTTATGCCCTGTCTTTCATCGTTCTTGCTTGCACAGAGTAACAGGTTTTGGACATGTACACATATGCGCGTGTTAAGTGTTCAAAAGCTCAGAACAATTTCATTGTTAGTACTAGAAAGTACAGACTTTGGCAAGTTTTGTCCAAGTAATCTTAGCCTGAAGATAACAAAACATTATGGTAGGTAATATGCATCTAAAGCACAAAGACAATATACTGTAAATGAAATGAAGAGAAACTATTATAAAGATAAGCATTAGAACTGTTTAATGTGCATTCTAAAAACATCAGCAGAGAACTGATGCTTTTTTACAGCTCCACTTTTAACAGGAAATAATGCTGTTAGAGACTATAAAAAATTCATTACAACCATCTAGTTTTGTTAGTTAACAGCTAACATACTTCAAACTTGCCTTGATTTCCTCTGGATCAAAAGACTGTGTATGTCACTGGATATATTTGATATAGACTATCATAAGCATTCACATAAACACACAGTGTTCCGGGCCACAGTGTGTTAAAATAGATTTTTGACATCTGCCTGACTAAATTCAAATGCATGCAAACGAAATCATTTTCATATGGAGACTAGTTCCTTCTTGAGAGATCTCTACATTTTATGATGTTCGACCGGAACACACCTCCTAAATGAGAGTGATCTGCTAAATGGGTCTAAAATAAAGTCCCATTTCAGATCCAAGCTTAACTGCGAAGCAAAAATGCAGGTTTGGGTCTAATCATTCTCAGATCTCATTCTCTGACCACCTTGCAAACAGAGATGTAATGTAGCTATGAGAATAATGGGGATTGGTTAAATAACCCAGGATTTAAGCATTGGGTGGGCTGCATCTCGAAATCTGCCCCAGCAAGATAGTACCTACCAATGTTCCCTCTAAGCTGTGGAGTCTTGTGAGCAAAAATTCTTATTTGTGAGCTACTGGCATTAAAGTTGTGAGCGAGTGATTTGGCTACTGCATATATTAGTTTGCTGTGGAGCCATCCTTCCTGAGCTAAGACAAAAATATGTGAGCTGGAGGCTAAAAAACTGTGAGCTAGCTTACACTAACTCAGCTTAGAGGGAACACTGGTACCTACCTATCCTTCTTGTTTGTACTCATTTGGACAGTATGAATGGGTCGAAATTTTCACCAGCAATTATAAACTATAAATGTTTATAATGTAAATGTTTTATTGTGAGCCCGCTTGCGGGATGGGCAGGATACCAATACAATAAATAAATACCTGGACTACAAGTTTCAGGAAAACTGCAAAAACACTGTTTTGATTCTCCAAAGAAGCGTTTCTTGCATTCTATGAGACATAATACTGAGAAGCTCAGGATACAAGAAACCATTGGATATGCTGATGAATTATGGAACGTATCACCCTAGAAAAGAGCTACCCCCAACAACAAAAACGTATATTAATAATAATCAACTGACTGCCCTCTGTGTGGTGGTGATAAAGACCATGCACAGACAAGGTATGGGTCTCTGTGTTGAGTTACCCCATGAATGGCAAGAAATGTGACTTTGTAAATTAAGAAAAAACTCAAAAAACAAACAACCCACCACCCAGCATGATAAAGAGTGGATGTGCTCCAGAAGAGATACAATGGGGGGGGGGGAGATCTGCCTGTTGTTCAGAGTGCTTACATAACCCTAGAGGGGCAGGGCTTTCAAAGTTGCTTACCCCATCTGCGATTTCCCCAATTTGTCCCTGTTCATTATAAACTGCAAGGTTTGCACCTCCCTACTACTAGCTTATCCCACCCTGGGCAACATGGATCAACCTGACGTGGTCTTACAGTGTTGTGAGCAATGGCTGTGGAGTCTTATGAGCAAAAATTCTACTTTGTGAGCTACTGGCATTAAAGTTGTGCACAAGTGATTTGGCTACTGCATAAATTAGTTTGCTCTGGAGCCATCCTTCCTGAGCTAAGACAAAAAATGCGTGACCTGGAGGCTAAAAAATTGAGAGCTAGCTCGCACTAACTCAGCTTGGCAGGAACACTGGTTGTGAGAAACATAAGAATCTTGGTGGTGGGTTGTTGTTTTTTAAGTTCAATCCAAGATAGCCTGAAATTGTTAGCAGTTGGTCACGCGCATGCAAAAAACTAGGCAATAACAACACTTGGCACTTATTGAAATGGCACACTTTCTAACCCCATTGCTGTAATAGTTTAAATACTTTGAATGAAAGTATCAGAGCGGGTCACTCAAGTATCTGCAGAGCGAGAGTTCTTTAACTAATACCCCAGAATCAATAAAAGAATTCATAGCACAATTAACATATAGCCTCTTTCTGTTCAGCAAGTCTGACAGCCAAGGATTCCTCAAGATGATGGACAATCTCCTTTGAAGTATGGAAAAAGCAATTGCAGATGACAGTAATCCAACTATATTATTGATCTGAGCCCCATAGCACCTTAGAGACCAACAAGATTTATGTCCACACTACCGCCGACCTCTCTACCAGGCTCTGCCCGTTTGTCCTCGCCCACAACTACTTCAGAGTTGGTGAAGATTTATTCCTTCAGATCAATGGCACAGCCATGGGCACCCACATGGCACCACAACATGCCAACATTTTCATGGCTAACCTGGAGCAGCATTTCCGCAGCTCAGCTCACATCCATTAACACCCATCTCACACCTGAGATTTATTGATGACACGGGAAAGGAGCACTGGAGAAATTTCACCAGACCTCCAGCAGCCTTCACACCGCCATCAACCAATCCACACAAGAAACATACTTTCTAGACACCACTGTATAAATACATAATGGAAACATAAAAACCACCTTATACTTGAAACCTACTGATTGCCAAATGTATCTATATGCCTCCGGTCACCATCCTAAGCGCACCAAATGAACCACTGTCTACAGCCAAGCTCTGGGCTACAATCACACTTGCTCTGATCCTTCAGAGATTCTCACCTGCAGGATCTACAACAGATGTTCTTGGATTACAATACCCACCTGATGTGGTCAGGAAACAGATCGACAAAGCCAGAACGATACCAAGGGATAACCTGCTACAAAATAGGCCCAAACACCACTGATGATCAGTTCTCTGCTCAAACCGGTTCAATGCAGTATTAATGACTTTGCAAGCTATGCTGGACCATGATACTCTTCTCTCACTGGCACTGGAAGACAATCATTTTCTTGCCCACCGACAAACTCCTAACCTTAAACAGTTTCTCACCCACAGCAATACCCTTCTTAACATGAACATGGACCAGTGCCTGCAACAGCCAATTCTGTCCCCATATCCACTCTGACAACACAATAACCCGACCTAACAACACCAGCCATGCCATCTCAGATGCATTTACTTGTTCACCTTCCAATGTTACACATGCCATCAAATGTCAGCGATGCCCTTCTACTCTCTACCTCAAACAGGTTAGTCCCTATACAAAAGAACAAATGGACATAAAACCAACATTAAAAACCACAACAGTGGGAGAACAACTGACTCTTCCAGGTCATTCCATTGCTGACCTAAGAGTAGCAGTCCTCAAACAAAGAAACTCTGAGGGGAAATCACAATGGGAGACTGCTGAACTTGAGTTCATTCATAAGTTTGGAACAATGGAACCCCCAGCACTGAATAGGCACATAGGTTTCTACCCCCAAGCATTTCCCCCTGCTCTAATCAAGCTGATTACAATATACAGTGTACCTTTGCATTCTTTACAACACCCCTCCTACCTTCTGACTGGGATCTAAAGAGAGATCTTCATTCCTACTCCTGTTTGACGAAGGAGGCTTTGACTATTGAAAGCCTATGCCCTGAAAATCTTGCTGCTCTCTAAGGTGCTCGAATCTAACTGTTCTAGTGCAAACCAACATAGCTACCCTCTGAACCAACTTCATTAAGCTCTCTCAGCTTTGAGCCCATACAGATTCTTACGATAAATGTTAAAAGCCTCTCCAGAATAGCATAATGTCAACAACATACCAGTAAAGATGCATCACTACATACAGATGTCTCAAGCAGCATTACAAATGACCGAAAAATAAGCTCCTTGTGCTTTACCGCTACGGAATAATATTTAAAGTTCCCACATGACATGCCTTCACAACTGGCAAATATAATACAAACAACCTTTAAGAGCCACGTACACCTTGCAGATTCTTAGAGCCCAGTCATCCTGTCAGCTTTGGCTTTAGTGAAGTAGTATTAACTGAGTTCACTGGTACAGTTAGGATTTGTAGACACAGAGCAGTTATGAACACAAGAAGCAGTCCAAGCCACCGCTACCGTCTTGTCCTGATTATGAGGACCTCAATACTCAAGTATTCAAAAGTATGAGCTGCAAACTATCTCTGTGGGGAAAATGGAGGGGGGGGGGAGAGAGAGAGAGAGATGAGAAGGTTTTTCTTCTGGACAAGCATGACTCAACTTCACTCATAGATCCAGAATCCAGAGCCTTTCTTTAATTTACCAGGCTTCAAATGCAGAATATTTAATCAGGCAATCATGAATAGCCTTTAGGCAAAGGAGATTAGACAGTTTTATGGACTATTAGTAATCATGACTATCAAATGGAACCCCTATATCGAAAGGCACACTACCTCCTAAAGACTAGTTACTCAGCCACAACCGCAGGGCTGTTACTTCCATGTCATCCTTGTAAGTTGCTTTGCTGTTGTTCAGTCGCACAGTCGAGTCCAACTCTTCGCGACCCCATGGACCAGATCACGCCAGGCCTTCCGGTCTTCCGCCGTCCTCTGAAGTTTGCTCAACTTCATGTTTGTTGCATCTATGACACTGTCTAACCATCTCATCCTTTGCCGTCCCCGTCTTCTTTGACCTTCAATCTTTCCCAGCATCAGGGTCTTCTCCAGTGAGTGCTCCCTTCTCATTTGGTGGCCAAAGTATTTGAGCTTCAGTTTCATTATCTGGCCTTCCAGGGAACAGTCAGGGTTGATTTCTTTGAGGATTGACTGATTTGTTCTTCTTGCAGTCCAAGGGACTCTCAAGAGTCTCCTCCAGCACCATAGTTCAAAAGAATCTATTCTTCGGCGCTCGGCCTTCCTTATAGTCCAACTCTCACAGCCATACATGACTACTGGGAATACCATTGCTTTGACCATGCGGACTTTTGTTGGCAGGGTGATGTCTCTACTTTTTATCATGCTGTTTAGGTTCGCCATCGCTTTCCTCCCAAGGAGCAGGCGTCTTTTAATTTCATGGCTGCTGTCACAGTCTGCGGTGATCTGGGATCCCAGGAACGTGAAGTCTGTCACCACTTCCACGACTTCCCCTTCTATTTGCCAAGGAGTGATGGGGCCGGATGCCATGATCTTAGTTTTTTTGATGTTGAGCTTCAAGCCCACTTTTGCGCTCTCCTCTTTTACCCTGAGCAAGAGGCTCTTGAGGTCCTCTTCACTTTCTGCCATCAGAGTGGTATCGTCTGCATATCTGAGGTTGTTGATCTTTTCCCCAGCAATCTTAATTCCCGCTTGTGATTCATCCAGGCCAGCATTTCGCATGATGTACTCTGCATATATATTAAATAAGCAAGGTGACAGTATACATCCTTGTCGTACTCCTTTTCCTATGCTGAACCAATCAGTTGTTCCATATCCGGTTCTAACTGTCGCTTCTTGGCCCTTATACAGGTTTCTCAAGAGACATGTGAGGTGGTCTGGTACTCCCATCTCTTTAAGGACCTGCCATAGTTTGTTGTGATCCACACAGTCAAAAGCTTTAGCATAGTCAATGAAGCAGAAGTAGATATTTTTCTGGTCTGCTCTAATCAAGCTGATTACAATACACAGTGTACCTTTGCATTCTTTACAACACCCCTCCTACCTTCTGACTGGGATCTAAAGAGAGATCTTCATTCCTACTCCTGTTTGACGAAGGAGGCTTTGACTATTGAAAGCCTATGCCCTGAAAATCTTGCTGCTCTCTAAGGTGCTCGAATCTAACTGTTCTAGTGCAAACCAACATAGCTACCCTCTGAACCAACTTCATTAAGCTCTCTCAGCTTTGAGCCCATACAGATTCTTACGATAAATGTTAAAAGCCTCTCCAGAATAGCATAATGTCAACAACATACCAGTAAAGATGCATCACTACATACAGATGTCTCAAGCAGCATTACAAATGACCGAAAAATAAGCTCCTTGTGCTTTACCGCTACGGAATAATATTTAAAGTTCCCACATGACATGCCTTCACAACTGGCAAATATAATACAAACAACCTTTAAGAGCCACGTACACCTTGCAGATTCTTAGAGCCCAGTCATCCTGTCAGCTTTGGCTTTAGTGAAGTCGTATTAACTGAGTTCACTGGTACAGTTAGGATTTGTAGACACAAAGCAGTTATGAACACAAGAAGCAGTCCAGGCCACCGCTACCATCTTGTCCTGATTATGAGGACCTCAATACTCAAGTATTCAAGAGTAAGTATGAGCTGTAAACTATCTCTGTGTGGAAAATGGAAGGGGGGAGAGAGAGAGAGATGAGAAGGTTTTTCTTCTGGACAAGCATGACTCAACTTCACTCATAGATCCAGAATCCAGAGCCTTTCTTTAATTTACCAGGCTTCAAATGCAGAATATTTAATCAGGCAATCATGAATAGCCTTTAGGCAAAGGAGATTAGACAGTTTTATGGACTATTAGTAATCATGACTATCAAATGGAACCCCTATATCGAAAGGCACACTACCTCCTAAAGACTAGTTACTCAGCCACAACCGCAGGGCTGTTACTTTCATGTCATCCTTGTAAGTTGCTTTGTTGTTGTTCAGTCGCACAGTCGAGTCCAACTCTTCGCGACCCCATGGACCAGATCACGCCAGGCCTTCCGGTCTTCCGCCGTCCTCTGAAGTTTGCTCAACTTCATGTTTGTTGCATCTATGACACTGTCTAACCATCTCATCCTTTGCCGTCCCCGTCTTCTTTGACCTTCAATCTTTCCCAGCATCAGGGTCTTCTCCAGTGAGTGCTCCCTTCTCATTTGGTGGCCAAAGTCTTTGAGCTTCAGTTTCATTATCTGGCCTTCCAGGGAACAGTCAGGGTTGATTTCTTTTAGGATTGACTGATTTGTTCTTCTTGCAGTCCAAGGGACTCTCAAGAGTCTTCTCCAGCACCATAGTTCAAAAGAATCTATTCTTCGGCGCTCGGCCTTCCTTATAGTCCAACTCTCGCAGCCATACATGACTACTGGGAATACCATTGCTTGGACCATGCAGACTTTTGTTGGCAGGGTGATGTCTCTACTTTTTATCATGCTGTTTAGGTTCACCATCGCGTTCCTCCCAAGGAGCAGGCATCTTTTAATTTCATGGCTGCTGTCACAGTCTGCGGTGATCTGGGATCCCAGGAACGTGAAGTCTGTCACTACTTCCACGACTTCCCCTTCTATTTGCCAAGGAGTGATGGGGCCGGATGCCATGATCTTAGTTTTTTTGATGTTGAGCTTCAAGCCCACTTTTGCGCTCTCCTCTTTTACTCTGAGCAAGAGGCTCTTTAGATCCTCTTCACTTTCAGCCATTAGAGTGGTATCATCTGCATATCTGAGGTTGTTGATCTTTTCCCCAGCAATCTTAATTCCCGCTTGTGATTCATCCAGGCCAGCATTTCGCATGATGTACTCTGCATATATATTAAATAAGCAAGGCGACAATATACATCCTTGTCGTACTCCTTTTCCTATGCTGAACCAATCAGTTGTTCCATATCCGGTTCTAACTGTCGCTTCTTGGCCCTTATACAGGTTTCTCAAGAGACATGTGAGGTGGTCTGGTACTCCCATCTCTTTAAGGACCTGCCATAGTTTGTTGTGATCCACACAGTCAAAGGCTTTAGCATAGTCAATGAAGCAGAAGTAGATATTTTTCTGGTACTCTCTTGCTTTCTCCATAATCCAGCGAATGTTGGCAATTTGATCTCTAGTTCCTCTACCTCTTCGAAACCCAGCTTGTACTTCTGGTAGTTCTCTATCCACGTACTGTTGAAGCCTAGCTTGTAGGATCTTGAGCATGACCTTGCTAGCGTGTGATATGAGTGCAATTGTGCGATAGTTTGAACATTCCTTGGCATTGCCCTTCTTTGGGATTGGAATGTATACTGACCTTTTCCAATCCTGTGGCCACTGTTGCGTTTTCCAAATTTGCTGGCAAATGGAGTGCAGAACTTTAACAGCATCATCTTCTAAGACTTTGAATAGCTCAGCTGGAATACCATCACCTCCACTAGCTTTGTTGTTAGCAATGCTTTCTAAGGCCCATTTAACTTCACATTCCAGGATGTCTGGCTCAAGGTCAGTGATTATACCGTCGTGTTTGTCAAGGACATTGAGGTCTTTCTTGTATAGTTCTTCTGTGTATTCTTGCCATCTTTTCCTAATCTCTTCTGCTTCTGTTAGGTCCCTACCGTTTTTGTCCTTTATCATGGCCAGCTTTGCATGGAACGCTCCCTTGATTTCTCCAATTTTCTTGAAGAGATCTCTAGTCCTTCCCATTCTATTGTTTTCTTCTATTACTTTGTTAGAGGAACACTGCTCAAGAGTAGCTTACAATCTCCCTTCCCCTCCCCACAACAGACACGTGGGGTTGAGAGAGCTCTCCCAAGAACTGCCCTTGAAAGAACTTGTCACTGACCCAAGGTCATCCAGCAGGTGCAAGTGGAGGAGTCGGGAATCAAACCCAGTTCTCCCAGATTACAGTCCACGCTCCTAACCACTACACCAAACTGTCTCCCTGGAGGCTGG